ATAAACACTCACTGGCCACATCATTAGGAACACTACTTCAACTGATTGCCTGTGAAATCAGTAAAATTAGCAATTGACAATTAGCAATTAGCAATTTATTGTCAAGGTGTCTTGTTAAAATGTTCAATCAGAGGTCAAGAGCAATAGAGGTTAATTGAAATGACTTTGAAGAGGACAACAGTAACCATAACTAAGCAAAACATAAGAAAATCATATAAAAAATATTGTAAATTAAGTCCCTTAATTCATTTATATTTGGTTATGAATGTGTGTTTGGACACCATTGAAAACTTGAGAATCAGTGATTCCGGCAGTTTATGAGATGTACGGTTCAGGATAAATAGTTATAAAATGTTATAAAAATTAATATAACTATTTTTTGCAATCTTATCTTATCTTCTTATCTTCCCTAGAATTTTCTGAGGCCTCCCTACCACCCCCTGCCAGCCCCCAGTTTGAAAACTACTGCTCTAGGTTACCAGTTTTGTACAATGTCTAGAATGAGTGACCAGTGTTCACTTACTGTCCATAAATTATTCATTCTCCTTCTAGCAGATACTCGTTGCTAGAGTATCAGACGCAGCAATAACCTGGCTGCCATTAACAGCTTTGAAATGATAAGAATAAGAATAAGAAAGGTGTGTTTTATAAGAATTATAAAACACACCTTTCTATCTCTTGCTGCTCATCCTTTTATTATCTCTCCTCTCCACTTTGCTTTTGCTTTTCCTTCCAGGGCTCTATTTATCATTGCTCAGGTAGAGTGAGTTTCTGTACCAAAATGCAGCAAACACGATGAAGGTATAGCCATTAACCTCTCTGGATGTGAAGAGAGATAAACACTGATTGCGCTTGTTTGTGAGTGTGACTGAAATAGGGGATAAATAAAGTTGTCATGACGAGTAGCAATTTTGAAGCGGCCCCTAAGGACAAGAGAGGAATATAACCTTAGGCTTACTCATTCCATCATGAATGTTCATTCTTCTGCTTTAAGCATTTTTACATAGTGGTAGTGGAATTTGGCTACAAGGACTGGAAAAAAAAAAAAAGATGATGACGGGTGTCAGGTAAAGTGTAAATTTATTAAGGTTTATAAAGACAGGAAATCACTCTTCCGAGTTTCTTAACTTGACTGTGATAAAAAAAAAAAACACTACTAAAGTACCTTATATAGAATGACACCTAAACCTATTTGCTTGTAAATTGTGAGGGAATTGTTATATCTGTCAATGGGTGTGTTTCATCTTTATGGAGCTATGTGTAAAAACAAAATGTCAGAATCTACTGCATATAATTACTGGAAAAATTATGAAAATTCACAGCATCTTTCATGAACCTGAAGTCAGTCAGAGTCATTTGCTGTTTGATGTAGTCATCGTGCAGAGCTGTCTGATGTCTTGTCATTATTTATCATGTTGCTCACTAAAGACTTGAACCTGGTATTAGGGACGTACAATCATGGTGCTAGAATTAGTCAGTGCTAGTTGAATGTTATTTTAATGTCTTTATATAAATCCACTTGATGTTTATGTAGGGCTACAAGATAAACATGTTGGTAGTGCTCTTAACTTAACTTCAATCTGTGGTAGTAGCTGCTGGTCTTTCTGTTTGGCGTTTTCGTCTCCCTCCCTGTGTGAGTGTGTGTTTTCTCCTCTTTCCTCTCACTGTATAAAAAAATGCCAGATTAGGTTAAATGTTTACTCAAAATTGACCGTAGGTATAAATTAGAGTTGAGATTGTTGTTCATCTCAATATTAAAATTATTTTGAATGCTGAAATATAAGATCATACTTTCATCTATTTTTGTAGTTGTAGGTTTTCCTAAAGAATACCAGTTAAGATAATTTGGAAAGTGGAAATGTACATTTATGGTCTCCACAGTGTTACCATAAGACCTCCAATACCACATTAATTCTTTGTTACAAAAAGCAGAAGCTGTACTTCAACCATCGAAGCTTAACCACTGTCTCCCAGGACCTCTCTAACTGTGTCTGTATCCAGTACATACTCGAGGATTTGGTCGCAGATGTAGATTGAAAGCCTTTCAACCTGGCCTAGCTATCTTCACTTAGGGAATGAACACAACCTGACCTGAAGGGAGCAATCGATCATTTTTCTAGCAGGAAGCACTCGCCGAAGACCTGGGGCTGCTCCACCTGCTCCACACTTGGCTACAACCTTTTCCGGTGCATGATGAAGCCAACTAGTGAAGCCAACATAAGCACATTATCTGTTCCTCGAAATCTCATATTCCTCATGTCTCTCTTGGCAACTCCAGAAAATATTAGCATCCAGCATCTCTCTTGGAGCTTGGACTCAAGCCCACCAATATCTGATTGGTATCTGTAGAGCAGCACTGGGCCAACAGGGATCAACACTGCAGGTCCTTAAACTGGCCTGCTGCCCAGCCAACAGCACATGCTCCAATGTCTACCACGCAAATGTTGGGCCCAAATTGCTGTACAGTGAACTTGAAATATAAACAGATTTGTCTATGTCATCTTAAAGCAGAGAATTTCTATATCACAAATTCTTGTTTTTTGGCAGTGTCACAATTGCATGCAACGATGTGTTGTAACAATAACAAATACACGTTGTTGCTGTGATCCCACACACGTGAATGACATCTGCACTACTGATAAAAGAAGAAGTGCAGTCATTTATGTGACTTCTGCTACACAGTGGCTGACAGGGAGAAATACTCCTACAACTCTTTATGTAAGTGGCACAAATGGTATAAACAGATACCATACCTTGCATGACATGCGATTGTTATGTTTTGATGCAAACCATGCTCTGTTTGCAACTGCTGATGTGAAAGATTAGGGCTGAATGATTGGGATTTAGTTTCAGACATTGGCTCCAATCCCATCCTTAAGATAGGGATCAGGACATCTGTGCAAATCCTGAACCATCATCCTCACTCTCTCTGCTCCACAGTTAATTGTTTTGGCAAAGTTTTGACCAGAGTTGACGTGACGTACACGACATGGCTCCCACTTAAATGATGCTGCTCTTTATTTTCTCCCTCTGTCAAGGTTGATTAATCACCTGAATGTAAACTGTTTCGTTTTTTTATATGGAATATTTTACTTTATGTATGGTTGAAAAAGCTATTTATAGACACTTTTTTTCCCCGCTTTTTCTTAAGGAAATGCCCCATTGTGTTTGAATGGGGGTTTTTTCTCAATATGATTGAGTTTCATTTTCAGCTCTGCCTGAAATTAGTACTGTAAATAGTTGGAAGCTATATTTATTTTATAATGACCATAATACATATATCTGCTAAGTAGATAGCTAAGTAGACTATGTAGTTGTTTTTATATAAAAATGTGTTTAGCTGTGATTTTTTTTATGGATGGGTCCTGCTGTGTTCTCAGAGCAAGAGCTAGAACTGCACCAAGTGAATAGCTGTCAAGTGAATGGCAAGTAGTTACAAAGTGGCCACAGATCAGCTCCAAGGACAATGACATGTCTCACGCTAATTGGGTAGAGGGTAAAAAATGAATGGCACTTTTGAAGGCTGGGGACTTAGTTAGGTCGTCTGCTTTTGAGACGTTGCTGATCGAACCGTGAAGGTCTTACCTAAGACTTCGCTCATGCAGGTACAGAATTCTAAAAAACACAAACACACACACACACAAGGGTAAACATGCAGTAATCCAAAGGGGAGAGGAGGCCCTCGTATCCCTACTCAATACCTTTTAAAGTGGCATTTTTTATATGCAGTTAGTTTTGGTCTTTTGATTTAAAGAAAAAAAATCTTAAAACAATTCATTCACATCAAATGTCTGCTTCAATTCTCTCCTGTAAAAATGTGATCAGGCCCAGGAGATTTTTTTAGTAATAGTATTTCTTCCTCTTCTTTTTGCTTTTATTGTTTTATAATAAAAGCCATCAAAATACTCCGCCCACCAGCCACTACCCCATACAATAATATATATATTTTTCAGTAATCCAATCTTGCACCTTTTATTAACTTATTAAAAAAAAACACATAAAAATACAGCTGAGAGGTATTTGTTGACAATATACGTCCTTAGAGGTCTTACATTTTTACGGGGTTATCGACAATCATACATTGCAGAAAACTTAGTGAACTTCAGTAAAAGTTTAATGAAACCTCTGTGATATAGTGATGTACTTGAAACGTGGATAAATTAGTAACACAAACGAGACGTTTTATGAACAACTATAGTCCGTGGGAAGGAAATAAATCCGATTGTCTTTGTTATACATCATTAATAGGCAGCAGATCTGGACTGTATGCAGGCCAGTCAAGCACATACTCTGTGACAGCTGTTGTTATTTGTAAAGAACTAGGCCTGGTATTATCTGGCTATAATAATCCAGAAATATCCAATAACACGTTGTCTTTGACCGGTGCATTGTATCGCTCCCTGAAATGCTGATGTAAGAAAATGCAGTTTTGCAGCATGGCTTTTAATGCACTCTCCAGAGATGCTGACTTTTGAACATGTTATCCATATTAATGTGGATGCACATCACACAGTGGATTTTACCCCTGGACTTAATGCACATCTCTCATGACTTCCTGAATCTTTGCGGAGTTAAAGTTACTCAAACTGAAGCCTTTTTTTCCAGCTTAGACAGAATTTTTTTTTTTTTTTTGTTCTGGAGGAAATGGTGAGACTTTGAAGTGTGTTCTTTTAGACAATCTTTTTTGGACTATTAACAGTTTGTCTGTAAATATACTTACATTATTTTGTCTGTTTATTGCTGGTTTAGATTAATTACAAAATGACAGGTTTTCACTGTTGACTTTTATTTGACAGGATCCTTATTATTTCATATTTATTTACTCTTTGTTGTGTTGGTTTAAGAACATAGCTTCAAAGCAATGGTTTTATTTCTGTCTTATATTTCTCAGTGGATGCAGCCCTGTGATATTTAGTTCAAAGCCTTAACTTTTGATTGTTCTTTCTCTTGAAAACATCTTTTAAGTTTTCTGCTTGGGTCTGTCTATGCTCTGTTCCCAGATGGGACCCCGTACACATGGTGGGTGGGCCGAGGCAGTGAGAAGCACTTCTACTGGGGAGGTTCAGGACCCGGCATCCAAAAATGTGCCTGTGGCATCGACAGGAACTGCACTGACCCCAAGTACGACTGCAACTGTGACGCTGACCTCTCACAG